TTATGAGTTAGTTAAATAGTGCCTTTCTCTTTAGGTGCAGCATTGCTATTGTGTTACCTTCTAGCAGAACAAATCTAGCTAATGTATCTGTTTAGAATATTTTTTACTAGGATAGAGAAGTGTCTCTGCACCTTGTGAGGAGTCTGAATGTGCCCCCAGAACAAAAATGTGTTGGTTTGCAGTTCTCATACATTTGATGGATGTTTCAATCATGATCTCAGTAGATGGATGGAAAAGTCTGTTTCATTTGCCAGGGCACATTAACTAAATGAGTATCCATCTACGATAAGTGACCTATTGCAAATAGCATTAGCTTCCTATCAGCACAGGATCTGGTTGGTATGCTCACTCCACACAGTCAGAACCTCAACACCTGGCAGCTAAAGGTGTAACAGTATTATAGCATATGTTTAGTATATGTCTCATGGTGCTGTGAAGAGACACCATGAGCAAGGCAACTCTTATAAAGGACAACAATTAATTGGGGCTCCTTACAGTTTTAGAGGTTCAGTCCATTATCATCATGGCAGGAAGTGTGGCAGTGTACAGGCAGACACGGTGCTGGAGGAGCTGAGAGTTCTACATCACAATCCAAAAACAACCAGGAGAGACTATCTTCCACATTGGGTAGAGTGTGAGCACTAGGGGATGTCAAAGCTTGCCTAAGCAGTGACACACTTCCTCCAAGGCTGCACCTATTCTAACAAGGCCATACCTCCTAATAGTGCCATGTACCATGGGCCAAGCATAGCCAAACCACCACAGTACATCTGAGGGCCTGGGTGTGATCTCCAGCATGGGGCAGGGGTGGGGGGAACCTCAAAAACCTAACCTAAACTAAAACCCATCGGTTAATACCTGTAAGCTAAATTATTTCAGCTTCTGAAACTGTTCAACTTAGAGTTTATTTTTTATTTCTAGCATGTGGGAAGTACATTCTCTAACTTCTTTGTATCTTCTTAAATTCTGAATATCTTCATACATCGGGAGTCTGTGTTTTGTAAGAATTGTTTTGTGAAAACTTTTTATCCAGCGATATATCACCCATTCCAGTGTCTTCCCTTTCCCCATCGACTGTGCTCCGGAAGAACAATCTGCTTTGCACACCACACACACACACACCCAGCACACACAAACACACACACACATTAGTTCTTTGTCTCCTGCTTCACCCAAGATTCCCTATCACCAATACCCAGAAACTAGGCCGAGAAAGTAAATCTTCCTGAGAAATATGAGTATTCTGGGGGAAAAGTCTAACATCCACAGATCTGTGAAGGGAAGACTATCATTCTGTTGGTATCATATGATTCATCTAGTGAATAGTTTGATAGATTTTTAACGATATAGAGAAGTTTACTAAGGATACCTTTCATTCTTTCTACACAATGCAGATGTCTTTAGGGCAGACATATTGTTTAATGCACATTTAAAATACAGTTTAATCTTCCAAGTCTATTCAAAGATTTATGATGGTGGCTTCCTTTGTAAGCCAGGTAAGTGCTATAACCTTACATTAAGAAAACCTGAGAGCATTCTGCAAAATTATTTAAATTCTCCCTTGTCTTGAACTCTGGTAACCTCACATTTTGTATCAACTTCTGAATCATTTCTTTAAATTATAACTCTACTTAGGCATTCATTTTCCCTGATGTACATGGTACATCTTCCCTGCCTGTCACTCACTAGAATTTAGCATGACAGTGGAATCATCATAGCTGTAGGGAAGTTAATGGTAGAGGGCCTTGGAGATAGCTCAGTGGTGGTAATGGCACTTGTGGTCAAGCCTGAGAACCTGTTTCCACTCTAGAATCAACAGGGTAGAAGGAGAAAACTGATTCCCATAAATTGTCCTCTAACTTCCACACATAAGCCGAGGCATTTGCATGCCCATACATGCACACAAATACACAGATTTTGCCCCCCCCACACCAAGTAATACAAGTTTTCCAATAGCATGTGGCCTGAAAAGAAGGATGGGTACAAAGTAAAACCCCAGAGCAGCAGAAAGTCCCAACTGCAATATGGTCACTTGTGAAGGACATATGACTTTAAGAATGATGATGGCAATAGCAGCTGAACAACAGCATAGACCTGGTATTAATCTAAGAGCTCTGCATAGATGACAATTTCACAAGCATCCCCATGTCTTAATCGCTATTGCTATTTCCCACTTACACATCTGGACACGGGCACGTTGAACGTTAAAGGCACCTTCAACATTGCACAGCTGTTGTTATACAGAGTGACAGAGAAAGTGGGGATCAGCAAGGAAAGAATGAGAGCTTCACTGGAGCAGCTTAGCAACAGGAGCAAGAGGACCACACATTTATGCGCTACAATGAACGCACTTGCGTTACAATGCTGTTGGTGTCTTGTCTCTTCATTCTCAATTTCACACCCTAAGACAGTGCTTAGGTGCCTAAGATAGGACCACCTTCAGCATATCCGTGATGAGTTAATAAGCTATTATCAGGGAGCAGAGGACTATTAACACATAGACAGTCCTTGATCTCATAGGAAGCACTACCAAGAAATGTGGTGTTGGTTGTGTGCAGGTGGCATGACCAAGTATCATCAATTGCATAATCCAATGGCATAGATAGATGGCTTCCTGCAGGTGATGGATAGTCCAGCAATCAGGGTTATGTTCAGGAAGGAAAACAGCATGTAAGTTTTATTCTGGGTTTCTCTGGAAGGTGTGTGTACATTGACTATGTTTGAAATCATTTTAAAATTTCATTTTCCTCAATACAGAATACTCTTTGAGGAAGCTTGGTTTACATAGACACGGTGAGCTTCTACTTTTGACAGAGTGTCATGTTAACCACTCTGAATGCAATATCTGCTAAAAACAATGAAAAATTCTGGGCTAACAAGCTCCAATGCAGCCAAATGGGTGAGGCGGGGGAAGCCTATAAAGTCAACATTTTGAAGGCACAAGCAGGAAGGTTAAAAGTTCAAGATTATTTTTGATTACAATGGTGAGTTGGAGGCCAGCTTGGGCTAACCCAAGATCCTGTCTCAAATAAACAAACAAATGGATTCAAATGTATTGATCTTCTACTAGGACATAACAGAAATTCTCAGAGTGAATAGAGAAGGAATGAGCAAAGGAAACAAGCATGTCTGAAGAAAGCAAGGACCAAAGTCAGCTTTTGTTCAGAGATCATCAATCAAATCCTGGACATGTAGAATTCCCGCTTTAACAGCTATGCATCATGCCACTGGAAGAAGATAACATCAATAGGTTCTCAAGGAGGGGTCTAATAGAAGACAGAATTTGAGGATCCCAAGAGGAATAGTCCCTATGTAAGAGTCAGTGCGCAGTAAAGCCAATAAGTGAGCAATAAGTGAGGCCAATAAGAAAACATGCTTGTCTTGGACTTAGAAGCCAATAAGGAAAAAAAAAAGTCTCCCTTGAGAGTATATAATGAAGTATTTTCATTACAGGTTCCAATTCAATCTATCTGTGCAATATAATAAACCTCAACTATATAACTTAATTTGGCCCTATGTTTGATGGTGTCTTGCAGCAAAGTTGCAGAAGCAAATGCTAATATTCTCTAGCAAAACTCAATTTTAACTCCAGCCGTGAAAAAAATCTCCACATTTATAACCCCCAGAAAAGTGACTTCAGAGTTAAAAAAAAAAAAAAAACAAACCCCAACCCAGATGAAATTAGGCACCATGAGCAAACGTGGCTGCTTTTGAAGAGAGAGCACAAATAGATAAATAGTTTTTAGTACGGAATTCAAACTAAGTAGATGTAGGCTAAATGTATTTAACATTCGAGTAATAAGGAAATGGCTTTAAAAGAGAACAAAAGAGAGTAAATGTATGTCATTTTAAATAAAATTGTAATATAAAAATATTCTGAGTAGTGAATAAAATGTGTCATACTGTTTTGTTTTGTTTTTTTCTTTTGTATGAGATAGAGTCTCCCATAATCTAGGTTGGCTTCTAGTTGCCGCCTGTCTCACTCTCCCAGTTAGGGGATTACAGGTGTGTCTCTATAGTCCACCAATCTAAGAAGGGATAATTTTTCCCCAAACTCAGAAGCATTTATTTAGTGCACGAATCTTCATGAAATATATTTCAAAATAAAAACGGTGCGGTGATACACTAATTATACCACCAATGAATATTTGCTAGGGTTATTAAAAGAGTCTGCCCAAAACTATAAACCTTAACCCAGGTACTTACCCAGCATAAATTCAAATCATTGTTAGAATATACCAGCAATGCATTAAATCACCGTAATTTATGGTTGGTCGTTATTTATTTATTGCAGATGCATTAGAACAGTTCTTTTACAATCAACACAAGATACGCCACAAAACATAACTGGCTACTGCATACTATTTTGGGTATTTTTTAATTTGGGAAATGCACATTCGCTCCAGTCTCACTACAAATTATTTTAACGTTGCAGGGACACCAATCACTTGTCCCGTTTATTTATCAGGAATGAATAATGAAGGTAAATTCCAGCAGCGAGTTCTGTTCTAAACAATCTGAATTTTCCGAACTTAGTCGATTATTCTAGCGTTTGGAATCTTTGCTATTTGCCTAGCACAGCCAGAAATCCATGACTCACAAACGGCGGGCTTGGAATCACAGCACAGAACAGGTGAAAAGTTGTTCCTAGTTGTGTCTGGCAGGCGCATACAACTCCCGTCATCCCCCATGAAAGAAATCAACAAATAAACAGAGGCACCGCATTTCGGATTCTGGCGTGCCCGTTTCGCGCAGGCGTGTGGTTTCTGTAGTTGCCACTCCAAGAGACAACCACACTAATGGCTTTGCTCGGAGAAACAGAAGACTACATTTCCCAGAACACCGCGGAGATCCGCACCGGCCGGTTGACGTCATCGCTCCAGACAGCCAATGGCAACGGCGGGCGGCAGTGAGGCAAGCGCCGTCAGGCGCCAAAGTGGAGCCTTTTTTTTTTTTTCTGCTTTTTTTTTTTTTTTTTTTTTTTTTCTTTGCCGGAGTCGAGCGGGTGCTGCTAGCGGAGGCGCCATATTGGAAGGGACAAAACTCCGGCGACAGCGAGTGACACAAATAAACCCCTGGACCCGTTCGTCCCCGCAGCAGTCAGGGCCGCGATGTTGTACCTAGAGGACTATTTGGAAAGTGAGTGCGCGGCGCCGGCGACGCGGCGGGCGGGATCGGCGGCGGGCGGGAGCGCGAGTGGCCGGGCGGGCGGGATGGCGGGAGGGAGGGGGAGCGGGGGATGTTTCTTTCTCACGGTAACTGGCAGCCTCGTTGTGAGCCGCCCCCCCTCACGCACGCACGCACGCACACACGCGTGACGCCAGCGCGTACCTTCGCCGTTGGCCCCGCCCTCTGACGGACTGTGCCTTTGACAGTGATTGAGCAGCTTCCGATGGACCTGCGGGACCGCTTCACGGAGATGCGCGAGATGGATCTGCAGGTGCAGAGTAAGTGGCGCGTCTCCACGGCCCCGCGCAGCCCCGGCCTCCCTCGGGCATCGCCTGGCGGGTCCTCCGCGCTACTTTTTTCAGGCTGTTACAAGGAGGCGGCAGGCACACCATACCGTTAACACGCGGGGCACAGCAAACACAGTGTTTGTGTACTGCATGGAGATGACGACACTGCACCGCAGTCGAAACTCGCGTGATTTTCAGAAGGTTTGCACCTGAGCCTGGATGTGGAACTTGAAGTTCTGCATTCAGACTTAAAAGTTCATTACATTCTGAATTTCTCAAGAGCAAAGACATAGAATGACAGGTTCTGTGCAGCTGGTTAGGGACCCTAGTGAACTTGGAAGGCCGAACTTTGACAAGTTGCATATTAATGGAAGACACTTAGAGCTGTCAACAGCGTGGTCATTTTCTCATCCAAAAGCTAGTGAGAGAAGTCAGATTTTACTATAAATCATCCGATTGCTCTTTAGAATGATGTAGACATTTGATAGGCTTTCCTACTCATTTCGTGTCTTCTAAACACAATCACTTAGTTCACGATGGTCTCACACTTACTGTGTATCCTAGGCTGGCTCTAATCTCCTGATCTTCGTGCTTCTGCCTGCCTAGTGCTGGGATTTACAGGCATGGCTAGCTTTGATTTTTCTGTCAGGGCTTGGCAGTTTTATGTGTGACTTATTTCCAAAATGAACCTTGTTCTTTTGAAAACCCAGACTGGAAGAGGCTCAAAGGTAACTTGAGTTTGCTAAGGGCTTGTTCTTTTCATTCTTGGTCCTCTGCCGCCCCTGCCTCTCATTTCTGTACCTTTTGTCCCCGACTTAACTTTTCTCATCTCAGTCTCTTGGTCATTTCTTGGGGTGCATTTCCCTGTAAGCTGTCATAAAGCTATGACCGGAATAGGTATGCTTTTTCTTTTTGACTTTAAGGCACTTTAAGTAAACATCTGCTGAGGCACATTCCAGAAGGATTGAGTAGAGCTTGGTGGGAGACAGATTCGAGTTCACTCCAGTTCCTTATCTCTAATCGCTGCATTGCTGCCTTAGGGGCTTCCTTGCTTGCTTTTTTTTTTTTTTTTTTTCTTTTTAAACAGATAGTCTTCTGATGATTTAAAATAATACAGATAAGTAGGATGTAGAGTGCCCATTACAAATAGGTTTAGGATAAAGGATAATTTAAAACATTTTCAATCATTCAAGTTTTTAAAATTCTGAGATAATTTGGATTTAGTCTATACATAGGACAGTGTTTTCAAGTTTATTTCTTTTATAACCCTGGAGCTTTCTGAAACAAAGTGAGTACGCAGCAACAAAAGTATCAGCATGTCTAATGTCAGCAAGCAGCTGAAAGTAAAATGTGTTCTAAAATCAAGATTAACTGGAATGTCTCAGCATCTTTTTAAAAAGCCATCCTGCACTGAAGTTGCTTAAATGATGAATATAGTGGGCAAGTTTGTCTCCATTTCCATCACAATAAAACCCCTTTTATTTATTTATCTTTTTTTAGCAGTCATCCATTGAGGTCATTATTTTTGACCTGGACTTTGCCAAACCCTTACGTAGAATAAATAACATACGTGTTTAGTGAATAAATGATGTCTCAAGTGAGCAAACGGTCGCATATGTCATACCTTCCTAAAAGAGGGGGTGATGAAGTGCTTGGCACTATGTAGCAACTGTTGACACTACCATCACTATTTTTGTTAAAAGAAGTATTCGAACTTTCCAGCAGTACTGTCAGTAAGCAACTCTGATTGCCATAAGCAGCTGACTTAATGCCATTAGCTTTGATTTCAGTGCGGGTTGTGGCATAGATCCTTGTTTGTGCAATTGACTCTACCTTGATTATTGGAAAGTGTTTTGAAATAGCAAAGTCACTACAGAATATTTCAGCTTTTTAAAACTAAGATCATTAAGGCATTACTGCTTATAGCACAAAATGTGTATAAGCCACTAGCAAACTAGAATAGTACATGTTGTCAGATGTCTTTTCTTTCCTCAAATCAAAGCAGTTTGGTCGGCTAAGTATGAAATGTTTTATTGTGTCAGATGCAATGGATCAACTAGAACAAAGAGTCAGTGAATTCTTTATGAATGCAAAGAAGAATAAACCCGAGTGGCGAGAAGAACAGATGGCATCCATCAAAAAAGTAAGTGCACTATCTTGGTCACACTGGGACTCTCTGGGACAGAGATTAAAATTAGGGATATACCTGGATATGGAGCGAGGAAACATATGAGGGACTTGGGGGTGCTTGTTATATTATAGAGCAGCAGCTCTCAACCAAGGGGCAAATGACCATTTCACGGGATCACCTAAAACCATCGGAAAACATTACGATTCATAACAGTAGCAAAGTTACAGCCACTAAATATCAGTGAAAATAATTTTATGACTGGGCTCACCACAGCATGAGGACCTATGTTAAAGGGTCATAGCATTAGGAAAGTAGAGAAGCACTGGTTTAGAGCTTCCTGTAATTTTTTTTTTTTAATTTGAGGTTTAATGCTCTGGGACGATATGCTGTCCTGTAGATTAGATTACAGATTAGACAAACTCACTGAGTACTGTGCATATGGGATCTGGTGTCTTTAATGGTACACTGGGGACACAACTTCAAAGATTTGGCGTTGATCCTCACTGCCATGTCGCTTGTGACTTGGGTCAAGTCTTTTAATATGAAGAAGAAGTTCTTACACCCAACCTTTATAAAAAATTTTCAGGGATATACAGAAAAATTAATTTGGGGACTAAAAATTTCACTTGTGTTATTTATTCTTCCATCTGTAAGGAAGATAGTCTGTTAGGAAGGAGGGAAGTCTGCATTCCTCAGAGAAGTGGTCCTAGTTTATAAAAATACCCGGGTACAAAGGATATTAGAGCTTGTGCATGTAAATCTAGAGTTCACTGGCCATCCCTTTCAACTAAAAGGGTTTTTTATGCAGAACAATTTGAACATATGCCCAAAAGTCTATGTCTGTGGAAGCATATAGGATACTTTTTTTCTTTTTTGAAAAGTAGTTTTTGTTTTTGTTAAAAAAAAAAGTAATATGGAGAAATATAAACTATAATTTGGGTGTTATTAATTTATATCTAATTTAAAACTAAAGCTGTCGACCAATTGGACAGCAGAAACCTGCAGATCAGAATCCTTTCTATGGCTGTATTTTTGCTGTAAAAATTGGGGCTGGAGAGATGGCTTAGTGATTAAGAGTGCTGGCTCCTCTTTTAGAAGACGAGGCTTTATTCCTAGAACCCACATAACAGTACATAACCATCAATAACTGCAATTCAAGGGAATCTGATGGCGGCGGCTTCTTCTTCTTCTTCTTCTTCTTCTTCTTCTTCTTCTTCTTCTTCTT